TCTGTGAGTATGTTTAACTCAGAGTTGATGTTCTTGGAGAGCTCAGTAAATACTAGATATTATTGTTGTCACTGACAAAGGTCCATGTTCATTCCCGTGAAGGCACCCTTTGAGATGCTTCATAACACCATTTTATGTTGGATTCTACTCCATATTCTTGAACCAACAGATAATGTAGGAATCATTTCCAACCTGCAGACTATGAGACACATGCAGCCATATGCAACCAAGGATAGCTATAAATGTGGCTCAACACAAAATCACAAATATACTTAAAAGATTATGAGGTTTCTCCATTGCAATTTTTGAGGTATGGCCTCATGTATCCCATACCAGCCTCCAATTGTCTATATAACTGGCATGATCTTGTGCTTTTGATTCCCATGCTTATACCTACTGAGTACATGGATTCTATATGCCACCACATGTGGTTTATGATTGGACCCAAAGTCGCATGCACTCTAGGCCAGTAGCCTACCAAGTGAGCTATAGTCTCAGGCCAGCCATTGCATGATTCTCCAACATGAACTTTGTAGATGACAGTTCATGTCACGTTGTCAACAGGGTGCACATGCCTGTTATACCTTTAGTGTCTGCTGATTTATGTTCATGAGACTAGAAGGGTACTTTCTCATTCTTCATTTAGAAGTCTGGCAGTGCATTATACTCAGTAGATTGTCTATAATTGCTCATGGAGGGGCCTTATTTAACTCATAACCAATGTTATGTTCTAATACACTATGAATGCAGAGACACACGAGGCAGAATCTCTGTCCTCCTGAATCAAATATTGTCTTGATAGTGACTCTACTTAGCTTTCATTTCTTATTTATTTATCCAATAAATATTATTGAACACCTACTAGCTTTGGGACTGCAGTAGGTAGCTTTAGCAGAGAACTTAAATATAAGAGAATCTTAAACAAGGTAAAAAATTTATATAAAACTTTCAGATTTTAAAATGTGGGCACAAAATTGAAAAAAGAGATTTGGTATGTATGTATGTACATACATACGTATGTATGTATGAGCTTTGTGTGAGTCAGGTAGAAAAATCAAGGCCCAAATTTTGAAATGTTGTTTTGTAGCTTGAATTAAAATTATCTGTGTTAATTTTGCCTCCCCTTTTATATTATAAATTCTTTTTAGGTGATATTGGTGACTTGCTGGTGTGCTATGCTTTCAAGTAAGGAAGTGTCTATGAATCTTTATGAAATGACCAGTGAGAGAGATGTTCAGCATTCAAAGAATTATGGAATGATCACAAAGATAAAAGACATCATCACAAATTGCCACCACACGTTCAGAATTGGAGAAAAAGAGCTACTGTCAGTGACTATACCCCCAGTATATCCTGGGCTCAAGACTGTGTCTGTCACTAAATGGCTTCATTTAATCATCATCCAAGAGCTGCAGTCTGAGTGGCACCTGCCTGAGCATCTCAGGGTGCTCTGTCTTCTCATCAGCTGCCAGGGAAATTTAGTTTAAAATTGCTTAGACTCTCTATCTCCATAGAGAAACTCCCCCCCTGCCCCTTCTGCTCATCCATCAGTCTCCACAGATGTGTCAGAGATATCATTTCCCATCCACAACTCCTTCTGTTGAGTGCAGTCTCCCTGTGTTTCCTGTCTTCGTTAATTCATCCCAATACAACTTGAATATCAAGACAGGTGCCTTCCCATTTTCTTCAAAGCAACTCCAAAACAAAAGCTTTTAGATGCTTACATTAACAGGGATTTCAGTGAACAAACTCACACAATGAAGCTCCCAAAAGAATACCTGGATATAGATTTCCTAAAGTCTTTCTGCCTGAGCTAATATTGGGGAAATTTCTGGCTACCCTCCTCATTTCTACCATCTCTCTAGGATCTTCTTTCCCAGAATGCCTCAGATACCTTGGGCTCAGTCTCGTCAATGTATCCACTACCAGTATTGTGCCACTATCCTCAGCAGCAAAAGGAAACTTCTGGTTTATCTTCACAGAAAAGGCAATGTTGTTAGGATAATCACTCCCCGCAAAGTAATCTACACAGTTAATGTAATCCTTACCAAAACTCTAATGATGTTGCATAGATAGAAAAGTAGTCCTAAAATCCTGATGGAACATCCCCCAAAAAACACTGAATAACCAAAACCAGTGTAGGCAAACATATATGCATGCATGTGCACTTGCACATATGGAGGACAAGCATACATTAAGGACTACATGTCATCATTTCTAATAGTTATATGCAAGCTGCCAAGGAGAAAGCAATCAATTGTCCTATGCAGCTGTAAACCACAACAATGACCAGTATGCTGATAACCAAGGGTTCAACAGTGGCATTTATATCCCAGGGTAACCAGCATCTACCTGGAAAGACATAAGTCTGGCTAATTATAAGGGATTTCATACATGGTACTGTAAAGCCAGCTGAGTAACTGTAGTTGGCAACGCAATGGACCCTTGAGGAGAAGCTACTACTGTCATGTTTCTATGCCAGTAGAATTGCCAACTACATTCTAAATATTTATCCTTATACCCGTAGATAAGTTCATCTCTCCCTTTTCATCAAAGAAGCTTCATTGTGCAGCAAATGGGGACCATTCCAGAAATCAGCAACTTTTCAAAATGTAGAGAACTGACTATGGGGTATCCACAGCTATATCTACAACATGGTTTTCACCTCTATACGTGAGGGAACATGACAGAATAGGGTACAGAAGGATTGTAAGAACTGAAAGACCAAGATGTCTGCTGTGAGATAGAGTTTTCTATACATGACACAAATCTGCACGCATGAAATCTCGACAATAGGATCACATAAACAAGACCTAAACAATGACATCACCATTTGACATGCCAATGTAGATGGGGAAATTTCCATAAGGCTGTGCCACTAGATGAAGACCTATGGGCAATTCTCCCTCTCTCATGAGGGAGTCCCATGATAGGTTACCAATCCTGAGTGGTCAGCCCTAAAAACACACAAACAAGCAACAGTGAATGGACTCAAGCACATATATTTATACACACACACACATTCATTACAATAATTAAAGAAAAGATGTCATGAGTTTGAGGAGGGGAGACATGGGAGGAGTTAGAGGGGAAAAAGAGGGAAGTAAATATGATGTAAATACAGTATGAAATTCTCAAAACAAATTAAAAGTCAATTTAAAAACATTATCTCCCTTGAATTTGTTACAATTTTTATTGTGTTCTTCCATAAAGCAGAGAAAATAAAGATCCACGAGGTTGGATTATATCCTCCAAGTCATTAAATGTTCAGCTGAACTCATGAACTTGAAAGTTTATAACCCTCCCTCACATCTCACTGTCCCAAAACATCACGAGGATTAATAAGAAAGCACACTAAATGTCTTGCCTCAGTTCTGGAAAAGTTCCTAAAAGGATGCATTTACCACTACTGGGTTGGTAACTGGGGCCCTGGCTGAAAGAGAGGTGAGAGAAATGGATGGTTAGTTCGGGGTAGAGGATAAATTAATCTAGTAATAAATAAATCTGGAATACAGCTCACTGAGAACAGCAATGGAATAAGCTGCAGAGTTAAAGCAGATGTGGGGTGTGGCTGCCTATGGTGGCGGTCAAATGCTGGAGCACTACTGCAATGAAAACTAACATGAGTGATGCTGTGATCTGCATGTGACCCCACCCAGTTCTCTCTACTCCTTTGTCTGTCTCTCTGATTCCTGTGTATCATGAGGTGAGTTTCTTTATCCTCCCATGCGCTCCAAGAAATGATGCTCATTCTCACTATGAGCTCAGAAACAATGAGATCAAGTGACAATAGCCTGAAAGCTTTGGAACCTTGAGCCTCCTCTTAATTTGTGTCTCTCAGAAATTTTCACCATAACAGAAGCTAACACACTTGCACATGTCCCTTTGTCCTTCCTTCTTCCATGATAGGATATAAAAAGAAACCCCTGGACAGGTGCAAGCCCTCAGCCTGGAACCTTCCTGACTTTGGAAGCATGAGCTAAATTGTGTTCATTGCAAATAAATATCTCAGGTGTCCCTGACAGACACAAAATCAACATCCATGGGTAACAACAATCATGTTTGTTGGTGTTTTCTACATGATGTCCTAAGTCTATAACTCTGCTCCTTCCTAAACAAAATAAGCAAAACACCATAATTTCAGGAATCAAGGTGATCATAGACTCTGACCTGTACTAAGCAACCTATGGCACATGCCATCTGAAGGCAATCTTTAGCAGGCAAAGGTCACTTGAAAGAATAGAATCATCATTCTCTTGCATTTCCAAAAACCCCACGCAGATGTGCTGCTGCACATGTGGCTGATAAAGCCACCTAGAAATGGCTAAGGCATTGTCAAGCTTTGCTGGCCTCAATGGCAGTTTCCCAATCTCTACCTCTCTCTCTGTTTCTCTGTGTCTCTTCCTCCCTCCCTCCCTCCAACCTCTCTTTCTTCCTCCTCAAGCCAGGCCATCATTTATCTGTAAGTATCTCAGACACACTGCACTCTATTCCAAATCCGAAACTTCCACCAAATCATCCCTCTGCCCCAAAGCTATTCCTTCCTATTCAGCTAAAATGAGAATTCTTCAGAAAAATCCCTTCACAGTGGTTGGACCTTGGTGAGCTCTCCTCATACCCCTCATCTCCCATACCGGGCATCTTTTCATCCACAGCCGCTTCCATCTGACTGCTCACCCTTCTTCAGATCTCCTGGTACCACTGCCTCCCATCCTCGCTGACACCCCGCACTGACACACTTCTTTAATTTGAACTACTCATAGGTAAGAGTAGGCAAAGCTCCATCCTAATGCTCAGGACCATGGAATTGGTTACGTTAGGGACATATAATCCTGGATTATCCTGGTGGGTCTGAAGCAATCACCTGCATGTAAAGGGAGAAAATAGGAGAAGCAAGTGGTCCACAAAAGGGAAGGTAATGTGACAGCATGAGCAGAAATAAAGGTGACTTGCTCTGAAGATGGATGAAGGGATCCCAATTTAAGGAACATAGCAACCTCTGGGAGCTGGCAAAGCTGAGAAGCAGAGCTCTCAGAGAGCCTCCTAGGGATCACAGTCCTGCAGGCACATTGGTTTAAGGACAATGAGGGTTTGTTGAACATCTGAGGCGCAGAGATGTGGAAAACTGTGACAAATACTTACACCAACACTAGAAGGTGACAGTGTGCTTCTGAGCATCCTTGTGAGGTCCAGCATGGCTGTTTCTCCATGAAGTGTTGCAGCCTTCCCAAGCAAGGGATGCGACCTTGTCTTCTCACCTTGAAGCTATAAATCCATGCAACAAAGTAGCCTCAAAAAGGATGTTTTTACTTTTTTTAATTAAATGAATTAAGTCCACAAAACTGACTGTTAGAGACTGTTAAACTTTTTAATATTTTTATTTTGAGTGTTGTGAGGCAATGTTACATGCTTAGAGACAAGTGCACATACATCATCAGTAGGCACCATGCTGGATTTCAAAAGCTACACTTAGCTCAAAAGAGGCATGAGTGCTTCTAGAGAGGCCCTCATGCCGGCTTCCCTGCACTGCTCACACCCCAGGGTTGCTACTCCAGCAAATGCCACCACGGGAGACTTCTTTCCAAATAATTTCATGCATGGGCCAAATGGCTAAAGACACATATAAAGAATGGGGGGTGGTGAGAGGTCCCACCCCAACTGAGAGGCATCTAACAAGTGGGCATTGCAAGAGGAAAAAACAGGTTTTTTTCCAGCTGTGTGGCCTGGGCAGGTTGCTCATACTCTTTTGTCTGCACGTGTGTGTGTGTGTGTGTGTGTGTGTGTGTGTGTGTGTGTGTGTGTCACTAATTAGTTATGAAAAACTGGTTATGAAAAGCATGTTCAGGAGAAAGGAGAAGAGTAAGAAGAGGAGAGACATGAGAACATGGAGGAGAAAAATGTGGAAGAGAAGGAGAGGAAGTGAAGTTGAGAGGAGGATGGGGAGGCAGGAAGAGTTGAGGAAGAGTGGGGTAAATATAATCTAAATGTGTTGTATTCTTGGGTGAGAGATCACAAGACTTAAAGAAAAACATCAAAGAGTGAAAAAGAAAGGTCTTTGCACTTTCTTCCCACTGAGAGGCAACCATGGCAAGCAGTGAATTGAAAACCTTCCTGGGATGCATTTTACCTACATCATCCCCTATGTACCTTTTGTTATCCAACATTTTCCCAGAGAAGGGTGGTTTAGGAATAAGTTCTTGCTTTGGATTTCTATGCTAAGCTAGCAAGCCAAGGCTGAGCTTTTGGGAGCCAACACAAGCAAGCGCAATTCTCATGACAATCTCCTGGCTATTCCCCTCCCCAATTCACTGGTTCTAAGAAATCACAAAGGGAATTCTAGCATGGCTGAGAGCAAGCAGCTTTTGAAAGCAGCATATGAGTACTATCTCTTTGGCCTTCTAGAGGACACCTAACTGCCAAAATCTGCCTTCAGTTGGAAACCCGAAAACATGGGGTCTGTGATTCATTGGCAGGGAGCTTGTGCATCAGTGTCAGATTTCTGCTTGCTAGAAAAGGCCAGATGTAAATGAGAGCCTCCTTGGGACTACAGACATACTAATTCCATCATGCCATTTCAGCTGAATCCAGACATAACCAAGGCAGAACAATTCTGTGGCCTCGCTATGGGGAACACAAGCACCCCTTCCTCTTCTCAGGGACACTTCCAAGCTGTGTTCACTAGCTCTCATTTCTGTGCTCAAGAAGGCAGTGAAGGGTATGGGACAAAACACATTTGGAAGCAGAAATAAGAGCAAATTATCTATATCCTTTAAAGGTCTGGTGACCTTAGAACAGGTTTGGAAATCTTATAATGTGGATGCAGGAAGGAAAATGTTGCCCCACCTACAGGTGGTCAATATTAAGCTTAAGAATTCAACGCATGAAAAGTGCTGTGGCACAAAAAAATAAAATTAAATTAAAAAAAGGTGGGCTATTAACCTCCAAGAATTCCCCACTGGAAATTCAGAAGTCAAAACTCACCTCCTTCTATCAGCAAGCTTTTCTAGTTCTATACACATTATTATGACCTCTGCTGCCCTGGAAGCAAACAGGCTGCTTTGACCTCTTCTTTCACAAGACTCTGACACTTAATTGCTAAGTTCCCAGATTTCTTCTTGCAAAATCTTTGTCAGCAGTTACTCAGCTCTTCCCCTGGTGGAAGCAAATCTCCCCCTATGTCATGGTCAAATCATAGTCACCCTCTATGAGCTCTGAGAATATTGGTCAATATCCAGAGACGTTATGGTTATCAAAACTTGGTTGTCGTCCCTACTTGGGCATCCTAATTAGCTTTGTCAATTCAAGCCAGCCTAGTAGAATCATCTGAGAAGGAAGCCTGAATTGAGAAATTGCCTAAATCAGCTTGGTCTGTGGGCATGTCTGTAGGCAACTCTCCTGATTATTAATTTGATGTAGGAAAACCCAGCCCATGGCTGGTGACACCATTTACTAAGCACGTGGTCCTGGGCTGGATAAAAAGTTTAGTGAAGCTTGAGTCTGTGAGCTGGCCAGCAAGCATTGTTCATCTGTGGTTTCTGCTTCAAGCTTGGACTTGAGTTCCTGTCCTGACTTCCCTCGGTGATGGATTGTAAACTGTAAATTGAATTAAACCCTACCACCACTTAAGTTGTTTTGGGTCAGAGTGTTTTATCATAACAGAAAGCAAACTAAAACATGGGGAGTTTAGATGCTGCTAAATATCCTATGGCAAATACCCTTGCAGCAACAGTGCATTGTCTGACTTCAATAGCAATGTGGTCAAAGTTGAAGACTTCTGAGCTATTCTGAAGTTTTTAACTCTTGTATTCGCCACCCAGCTCTGGATGAGGTTTCTATCAATACCATTTTGTTTTGTGATCACCATTTCCTAGAAATCCAAGCTCCAAACTGTAAGCTGACCCTGCTTCCCTGTAGGGAAGGAAAATCATGCTCCCAAACTTAATTTTGTTGAGCAATAAATATGTTCCAAGAGTTGTTAATGAGCATTAAGTTGTTCTGTAAGGGCAAAGACTCTACATGCAAATACATATTTAGTTCCCATTGGCAATCTCTTAAGAGAAAAGAAATACCTCAGATCCAATAGTCTTAGGTATTTCTTGGGTATTTAACAAGTTTATCTCCTGTCCACTGATATATATATATATATTTGAGAGAGACAGAGAGAGAGAGAGTTTTAATATTGGTGCGCATATATGCATGTATGCGTGGCAGGGGATACACCTAAATGTATATAAGCTTATGGAAGCAAGACCACCTCAAGTATCACTATTAATCAGGCAGGGCAATCCTTGACCTACAGTAGACTAAGCTAGTTGGCCAGTGAGTCCCAGGGGTCCAATTCCCCTGTCCCTACTTTCCCAGAGCTAAGACTGTAAGTGTTAATCTCTGCCATTTGCCCTTTGTTTTGTATTTACTGTTTGGCTCCAGACAATTTGTTTCAGTAATTTTCACTTTACCTTTTCTATTATAAAAGTTCTTCTAATTCCAGTTACAAACCCACTCCAGGAGTTGTGATAATTACCCAGCATGCTGTATTCATTCATTATGGCTGTTGTTTGGACTCACCACAGAGCTGGAGAGGGTTGTTTTGTTTTACCTTTTTTTTCTCAAAAGTTTGTAGAGTAAAAGCTCAAAGTCAAAGTTTCTACAGTCCTGGTTCCTTCTGAGGTCTCTCTCCCTAGATTATGATCGGTTGTCTTATTTCTTGTGAGGCTGTATACATCCAAATGTCTGGACCCCAACCTCCTCTTTTCCTAACAGTTTGTTCATATTGGATGGTCTACTCAGACCTCATTTACCTTAATTACCTCTTTAAAGGTTCTTTCTTCAAATACAGTCAAATATAAAGCACTGGGGATAGGAGTGTGAATTTGTCATTTTTCCCTAAGATGTTTCCAATAACATAATGGAAACTGGCGGGGGGGGGGGGGTGGAGTGACTTCATGGATGTCAATGAAGCAGTCATAGGATGCAGAATATTCTAGCAAAGAGGAACAAAGCTAGGTAATGGAACTGTCTTGAGCCAAGCCCATGTTTATGGGATCTGGAAGTGAGAACTAGCTGTCAGCAGCACGCCCATAGCAGGGGCTTTCCATCCTGTCTTTCTTAAGTAGTTCTTTGTGGTCCATCACAGCCTCCACCATGTTTGCCTGCTACCAGATTGATAAAAGAGTGAACTGCTTGAATTCTGTTCTGGGACAGAATACATGTGCAGAGTCTTGCAAGCCTCCACAGATGACCGTTTTACTCCAAGACACTGTGTGTCTGAACATTCCATTTCCAGCAACAAGAAACAATTCAATAAATAAAGTGCCTATTTAAAGGTCCTAGACTTCTCAGTCTCCACTGACACTATGTCCCCTTTTCTCTATGTACCCACAGAGTGACCTGTGCAACAGTGTCTTGCTGAGCCCTTTGGGAGCTGCAAAATATAAAGCCCACAAAAGACACTCCCAGACCTAATTCAGAACCTATATGGTAAAAAGGGCCTTTGAGGTGGTTCTTGTTCCGTCAAACATTGAGAGCCATTGGAATAAATTAATCTGGGCAACAAATTACCCTCTCTGAGCCTGATTTTCCTTATCTCTAAAAGAATGCAATTCCAACTAAAAGACTCCTAAATCCTTTCAAGTCCTAAAGTGCCATGACAATTCTGAGTATAGTCTGGTCATTTTGGCTCTCACAGAACAGGCATTAAACTTTCAGCCTCATCCTCTGTGAACACTCTGCTTCCTGAAGACTTGACTTCCATCTGTAATCGGCAATTAAAGTCATGGTTGGAAGGACACTACTGATAGTCTAAATGCAAAAGGCATTCCTGCTAATGTGTCAGCTCTGTACCTTGAGGGTAAAGTGCTTGAAAAGTGCAATGTGCAAATGTGCTAGCCCAACACTTATTGGAGCTAAGGAAGTGATTTGGGTGAGGCCAGCAATTTTACCATCCAGTGATTTGACCTGACAAAGGACCGATGGCTCCTGTTTAGCTGTCATAATTTATGGTAGTGCTTCATTTACACCCAGCCATCAGCAAGATGGTGATGGCTGAAGAGAGAGAAAGATCTAGGGTGAGGAGAAGATGGAGGCTTTGAGCTTGAAAACTAAATTATCAACCATTCTCTCTATATGCATCATTTGAAGCCCCAGGGTCCATTCTAAATTTAAAATTCCCAAATGATTAACAATTCAGAGTACTATATGAAAGGTTAAGTAGTAGAGGTTGAGATTCTTAAAAATTCAAGTGAAAATTTACCATCAAAAGACATTGTTACTTCATAAAGATCACAAGGACAATATTACAAAGCTGATAAAATACACAGAAATTATTTTAATAATAATAGTATAGATAATAATGATATCAATAAAAGTGATTATAGCATATCTGTGTGGAGCATTTTTCAAATTATATAGTTCATTAGTCTTTAAAGCAGAAATATGAGGAGGTTCCATTATCATGCCTATTAAACAGACAATTGAAACTTGAGTTAAAAGATGCTTCCAGTGTTATGAAGCTAAAATAATGACCACCAATGTCTATTCTATACCATCTTCTACTTCTTACTATGACAAACTTTACATCTGTGTATACATGTATGGACTTATAAAACATATATTAAGAATTGACATCCCCATTTTATACATGAGAAGATACTAAATACCTGCTCAGATTTGTTCAAATTAATAGACATGTAGAAATAAGATTGACCTACCTGACTAATAAGTCCTGTCTCTGTCCATGATGCTCTTCAGTTCTCAGTACTTACACTGTGCTAGACAATTCCTCCACGATGAAAACTGCAAAACACTCACAAAGGAGTGCCCAATGTGGACACCAAGTTTTCTGTTGAGGTGACTGGACATAGGTTCACTTAATTCATGATGCCAGACTCTCCAATTTTGAAGGAGTAAACCTACACAAAGCAATGTAATTCAGACAAAGATTATTTACTGAAAGATTAGCATGCCAAATAGTGACTCAACCCTCAGAAACATCTTCAGTACTTTATATGTCCATTTCATGGGTAAAAATCCTTGTTTGAAAGACAGGCAATGATAGGAGAGACTTCTAGCTACAGGGACCACTGAGAACTCACTATTTGTTCACAATGACACTTTTAAGCTTCTAGGATGACCACCTATGTTGTCTCCCTGAAGGTTTGGCTTTCTTTAAAAGAAGACTTCTCTCTGCTCGGATGCTAAAAAGGCCAGACAAGCTGGGGACTTATCACTACTATCCTACTGTCCTTACCTAATGCCTGGAAGGAGCTGAATGACTAATTCTCCCAGTCTCTCACCTTATTTCATGACAATATAACTCTAAAAATTGTTTCACACTTTCCCAGAATATATCATCTGAAGATGTTGCCTTAGTTAGGGTTTCTATTGCTGTGAAGAGACACCATGGCCATGGCAATTCTTATAAAAGAAAACATTTAATGGGGTGGCTTACAGTTCAGAGGTTTAGGCCATTATTATCATGGTGGGACATTGTGGCATGCAGGCAGACACGGTACTGGAGCTGAGATTCCTACATCTTGATTGGCAGGCAACAGGAAGTGAACTAAGACACTGAGAATGGCTTGAGTATATATGAGATCTCAAAGTCCACATCCACAGTGACACACTTGCTCCAACAGGATCCAGCAAAGTCACATCTCCTATTAGTGCCACTCCCTTTGGGGGCCATTTTTTTCAAACTGTCACAGATGCCATCATCCACACCACCGTGGCATTGTGATTAAAATTTTCTCAGTATTGCTCTACTTATTAGGTTCCTTCTAAAACCTTTCTCACATTCTTCCACCTCACATGTTTTTTCCTGGAGTCACTATCAAATGAATTCTGTATTTGAAACTTTAAATTGGGTTTTCCTCAAAGCAAAATTTAAGACCAGAAAGACAACCCTTTCAAGTTCACATTCAAAAGCCAAAACCAAGCACTAGACCAAGGTTTAGGGATATAACAGTAAAGAAGACATGTAGTACCCTTCATCTCATAGAGTCATTGAAAAAGCTAATTGTCAAAGATACAAAAGCATCCTAAAGGGATCTGGGAGTAATGTCCCATGCATTTTGATACTGAAAGAGCAGGTGAGGCTGAAGGGAGTGTTGCATACAAAAGAATAAATCAGAAAGGAACCACATGGCACATTAAACAAAAAGAAAGTCAGTGTGGCTACAGTAGGGCACAGAGTGGCAGCAAAAGTGCAACGAGGAATGGGAAGTAGGCAGGGGCCAGGTCTAGGAGAGAGGTATGGCAAGAACTTGTAATTCAGCCTCAGGGAACCGAAAGTCTGTTGTTTAACAATGGAGTAGGAAAGTCTTTCCACCTAATTTCTGGTTATTGGATAAGAACAGCAAGAACTACAGTTGAAAGACCATCTAAGATAGCTATGACTTCTAGTTCAACACAGCACGGTATACTTCTCTTCCTTTTTGTGACTGCTGTCACTTGAGGGTTGTGTTCAACAGAACATGATATGAAACCTTTGGAATGGAAGTTTAGCAAGACAAAAATAGCTATTTTTATTGATGACAGAATATCTTAAGGGGCAACAATTTGTGAGGTTTCATGGTCCTAGGGAAATTCAGTTCACTGCGGTAGAAATGCAAGATGAAGTCATGCAAAGTGGAGGCCTCTTGTATCACAGCAGCCTAGAAAACAGAGAAGCTAGAATTTGAGACTGGACTATGACTTTCAGAAATCCACACCTAGTGATCAACTCTACCAAATAGGCCTCACCTCCAAAAGGATTCACAGCCTCCCAAAACAGTACTACAAGTCTCTAACACATGAGCCTTTGGGGGCACTTTGAGCTCAAACTGAAGCAGATGTATATCCTCCTCACAAGAGGAGGTTCAAAGGTGGGTGTATTGGTCATAGTTGTTTGACAGTTCAGAGCTGTTACATACGAAGTCCCTGTGGCTATCATGATGTTGTATGCATGGTTATATATGCTCCAATCTCAGATCCAAACCATTGTATATGCTGTACATTCCACAGAAATGAATACGGAAGTGAATGCAAAGAAAAATATACTAGCCAGTTTGTTTACTTAAGATTTGTGCAGTGACTTCTTCTATACAATTGTCCTAAAATGTGCTACATGGCCAGCCTCAATTACCAGGGAAAATGGGAAATGCAATTCTAACTGGGAAGACTGCCACCAAACAAATACATGAAACTCCATTTGGAAGGGGCAAAGGGAAGATGGATTTTGGGGAAGCAATTAGCAGACTCCACCAAAGCCACAAAAAACAAAAAAGATCAGATGAAAAAGCAGAACAATCAACTAGAGCAAGAGAAAACTCATTACAAGGATGAACATTTTAACGTTCCCTCCATTTCCAGGGCATTTGTACTTTTCAAAGTGCATTTTTGTGAATTCAATTCCCCTGTTTAATATACTTAATAAAATAGTAGAGCATAAAGATTTGACGTTTCACTGAGCAGAAATAACCTAAGAAAGGCTGAACACATGATAAATAGGAAAGGCAAAGAAAACAATGTCTGGTTGAGTCGAAAGTTGCTTCTTTTCCTTTTTATGGGTGTTATTTCCCCTTTATAATTGGATTGGATTCCTGGAGAAGGTGCAGCTGCACACCATTTAGAGAATAATCTAAAGGTCCTCCAGTGTGGTGTAGAGAAAGGGATTAGGGCTCAGACCCAGTCTAATTGTTCAATGCTCATGACAAATGAGCACGTTCCCTGTCCTCTGAGTGCCAGTCTCCCCCTTTGTAAAGCTGACAAAGCCTACAGCTCTCCTAGGATCATGAGATAAACCCTGATCTGATATGTACTGGTTGGATGCTTCTGTGTTCTTTGACATATTCTGCTTCTACTTAGAATGAAAGACACTAAAGAGTGTTAAGGGAACAGACTTGCATGGGAGTAAGCGATGAATTTTTCCTCAACTATATGGGTCAGGTAGCCTCAAGGCAAAATGAGGTGAGCTTTCAGGGTGAGGCAAAGGAATTCACACTGCACTTACCTGCACTAGGCCTCCAGGATCACGGTGGAAACTTAAAGAACTCTCTCCTGCTGTGGTGCCTTCTCTGCAGAAGATGCCAGGCCAAGTGAACAGATGTGAAAGGGCAGTGGGACAGGCTTGAGAACGAGGCCCCTGGGCTTTATTTTCCCTTAAGATGGTGCATTTGATGCATGGAGTTTAGGGTAACATAGTTTCCACAGTAACACAACTCCTGAGGAGCAAATCTTAGGGGGTCCTGAGAAAACCCACTTCCTCCCATGCCTTCTGTCTTCTGCCTTGTTCTATGAATCCCAGGCATTTGCTCTGTATAACTGTGCTCTTCCAACTTCTAACCAAAAGCCAGCCAGCAGATCATGGGATAAAATTAACCGGCCCAGCCCCCTGACTGAGCACCACTAAACCACTCGATTGCTGAAAAGAAACCAAAAGGTTCATTCACTAAAGTTTCTGAGGCTGAGACGGCTCTCCTGAAAAGGCATGGAATTCTACCAGTGCCTGCCAAACACCAAGTTCACACCACACTTTAAGCTTACTGATGGAGAATGATAGAGCCTCCAGTGAGCTCAGTGAAGACCCCAGTGTAGGTTAAGAGAGAATATGTCACCAGCACGAAGAGTCCCTGCAGTCCTTAGTAGGAATCATTTTGGTTGGGTTGAGTTGAGTTTGAGCTGACCTAAGTCCAGTTGAGTTGGGTTTGTTTGGTTTGGTTAGTAAAATAAGAAACAGAATAAAGCACAGTGAGGGACTGAGAGAGTCTATAGCATAATGTAACCAGAGCAGGAAGCTTCATCACTAGAAATCCGTTTTTAGAAAGAACACTAAGGTACCTCAAGAATTTAGAACTAATGGATGAGACAGCTGATTCTAATCTACAGGGAGCAGATGAGGAAGGATTTTGACCATCAGTAAACTGTCTTAAGAGTAATATTATTAATTAATTAATTAATTAATTAACAGTTGACAGCTCAGTATAGTAGATGAGAGACAAAATTAGGGTACACTGAGACATGGAAGATGAGCCAAGAGTTAACATGAGATTAAATTTTGCCACTGAAAACTGTTTCCTGGACAGTAATGATAGAGTCGAGAATGAGAATGGAGCCTCTTATCCCAGGAGCAAGTGCTGACCCACCTCAGATATTGCTTTTATTAATATTTTACTTCAACTTTACAGATGGAAAAGGCAAGGCTTTTTCCAAGGGAAAGCTCAAGACTCCCTGGAAACAATTCTAGACAATTCTATCAGGTGGAATGAAATGTGGAAATTAGGCAAGTTTTGATCACAGACATCAGCAATTCCTGCAGGTTGACGAGTGACTTGAATGTTCTTGATAAAAGATTTCCTGCACATACTGAGATGTGCTTGAAGATGTAGCCAGGCCATGCATTCAATCTAAAATTGCGAGAACCTAGAAGACTGATTCTAGAGCAAAGCCGTTTACTTCGTCCCCCTCCAAGTCACTATAAGAGTGACTTCTCATTTCAGCTACAGCCTGAATCAGATATTTGGAGTGTATCGGTAATATTTTCTAGGAAATGTGGCCATTTCCTAACATTGGTATTCATTTCTTTGAGCGCCTGGCTTATTTTTGTATATTAATTTAAATCCACTTCTAATTTTAATTAGAGTGGGATTTAATAGTGTTGAGTCTTTTCTACTTACTTTTTTTCCCTTCTAAAAATGAATGTTAACTTCAGCAATCCAGGTTTTAAAGTATCTGTATTTATTCTGGGACTTAACAACGATGAGTGGGGATTAATATTTGGTTGGGGAATATAGGATCACATTCACTGTGCCTTTGGAAATTAATTAAAAATGTTTTAAGATTTTTTAATGGGCTACTTAGTTAAATCACCCTGAAATAATGAACTGGTATAAGTTGAGCTTAGCATCAGGCTTAGGTATCTGAGTGTTTTGCAATGCCTGGCTTAATCTCAATTTAGTACCCATTAACACATTCCTCCCCATCCTATTTCTTCTCTCACCGTGTGTTTGACCTGCCCTCTGCCCCTGCCTCTCCCTCCCTCCGTCTCTCTGTCTCTCTCTGTGTCTCTGTCTCTGTCTCTTTGTCTCTCTCTCTCTCTGTCTCTCCCTCTCTCTCTCCCTCATTTCTGGAATGAGTGTACCATGCTGTGCACGTGAAGGTCAGAGAACAACCTTGTGTGTCAGCCCTTACCTTCCACCTTGACACAAGGTCTTGCTCTTCTTCACTGATGCCTGTGTCAAGCTGGCCCTCCAGCTAGCTTCCAGGAAATTTCCTGTCTCCACCTCCCATACTTAGGGTGGACGCTGAAGGATAAAAGACACTTGTACTGCTGTGTCCATCTTTTAAGTGTCTTCTAGGGACCCCAACTCAAATCCTCAAGCTTACGAACAAGCACTGTACCCACTGACCATTTCCATACCGCCATTTCACTTTAACTGCATTTTCTAGCTCCTGCTTTTCTTCATAGCATACTAGTTTGTGTCTATTTGTGTTTTTTAAAAAGATTTTGACTTGTAATTAACAAGGAGTCTTTGAGTATGTCTATGAGGCAGTACGATGCTCCAGTACATGTATTCACTGTTCAATAACCATATCAGAGTAGTTTAAGCATCTGTACTTATTGGTTTCTTTCATCTCCTATCACTTCTGCTTTGACCCAGCCCCTTTTCCACAATTCCTGTACCTGAAATATTCCAAAGTGTTTCTCAGATCGGAATATTTTAGGTGGTATTTACATATCTCTCCTTCAAGCCTTCCTATCCTTTCTATAACTGCATCTGCATTTATAGTAAGAAACCACAGTGTGTTTAAACATCTGCCTCCTTTCCTATTCTATCACACTTCAGTGTTTGCATCTGTGTTCCACCCACCAGTCTTATGGTAGGGCTTAAAACTAATAAATACTCAGGAACCTAAACTAATTCCATCTCCTGCTTCTCTTGGGTTGACATGATCTAACAACACAAAGAAAATTGGATTGTTTTTAAACATGCCAAACAAATCATACATTCAGTTTGTCAACAGAATGAGTTGAGTTTTGTTCAGTCATGTATTGAAATTTTTCTTACACTTATTAAACCCCAAGTGAAGGCAATGTCAAAAAGGCAGAAACTCAATAGTTTAGAATTCACAATTTCCCATTTTAAGGAATACCACTGGTACTGGGAACTGAAGTGTAATAACAAAGTGTGGTTTGATTAAACTATTGTTCTATACAGGGAGCTTTTTCTCCCTACACTGAGAGTTTTTCTAGTTTTCCTTTCTACTGTTAAGGAAACAAGAGACTGTACCTGTTAAAGGTCAGGTCCTCCTCTCAGCCCACTAAGCTTCTGACTGTCCTTGGAATCAACCTGTGATGTACAACAAGGATGGCATGTAGTTAGAGACAGAAAATGGGAGCTAGACTCAGAAACTGTCACCTAAAGGACCTTTTCTTTTAAGCCAGGAATTTACAAGCATACCTGAAGTTTACTTCCAATAGCAAATTCTCCAGAGAACCCTCATAAATATTTTTGGAAACCTAGGATTTTATTAAACATGTCAAAAATAATTCTCTACATCTGAAAGCATCCTATTTCCCCTATTCTACCTATTGTCTTACACATAATTTGAAGTGTCACATAGAGGTAAGGGTCATTGGCCAGCAGCTTTCCAGTCCAAGGCTGGGTTCCCTTATATGGAATGAGACGGTTTGAATGAGAACAGCCCTCATGGGCTCATATATTTGAATGATTGATCCCCAATTAGTGGAACTGTTTAGGAAAGACTTGGAAGTATGGCCTTGTTGAAGGTCACTGGAGGTGGGCTTTCAGGTTCAAAAGATTTGCACCATTCTCAATGTGCTCTCTCTTACCTCCTACTTATGGATCAAGATGCAGTCCCTCAATTGTACCAGCTACCATGGGTTTTCTCTGCCATTATGGAATCTAACCCTCTGAAACTAAGTCAAAATTGGACACTTTCTTTCATAAGTTGCTTTAGTCATAGTGTTTTTTCATAGCAATAGAAAAGTAACTAAGACATGGGGAATCTAATCTTATGTCAGCCTGTCTCAGGCATATTGAACAATACCTTCTCAGAGAGAGAAATTAGTGTGGCAGGCCCCTCCTCCTCACCAGTCCTCTTCTTGCCTCCTTTGAAAAGGAATAAAAGTGAATTCACATCTAAGCTTCCCAATCTAAAGAATATTGCATTCTAATTTCTTTTAATCTTCTGTGAGTTGAAAAATTAGATAACAGAATTTATTAGAAATACATAGAAAAGAAATATTAAATGTAGTTAGAGGAAATTGCAGAATATGTCTAGAAAGACCCCCCCAGGGCAATGAAAATACATTTGGAAGGCATCATCCTATATGTATCAAATATCCAACCACCATTGCTTAGCATGCATTATGGTGAGTGTCCTGATGAACTATACCAAGGACTTGGATAGTGAATGAATAAAAAAAATTAAAATGATCTGAATACCAGCACCCATCTCTCTGTTTCCTTACTGTGGATACAGTTGGAATAGGCTACCTCACACTTCTACCAACATGCATTCTCTGCATTAAGAGACTGTACCTTTAAACCATGAATCCAAGCAGACTCATCCTTAATTTTGAAAAGAAATGGTAAATTAAGATAAAGGTGTCATCTCTGTAGTCCCAGAGCTCACACTACAGTTAATCGTTGAGGTAGGAAGGGAACAAGGCTGTGATGTCACAATTGGCTGCCCAGATGTGGCAGGAAGAAAGAATAGTCAGGGGTTCTGTGCCTCCCTGCTATGTAGGAGTAAGGTGGTGGGCTATTGAAACCATTCCTAGAGCCTGCTGACAAGCATGGGGGCTGGGCTCTTTGATGAAGAATGGAGCGTAATCTGATGGCAGTGGAAAGTTGTGGGTGAGCTATAAGAGGAAAAGAGATGACCTGATCCAATTTGTGTCTTGGGAATGTGGTATTGAGGAAGCTGACCCTTGAGTTTACAGAACATCCTCCATTTATAGTTTGTTTCATCATAAAGCTCCATAGCCTTATTATGTAGTAAATTCAGATTAGGTGAAAGTAGAGTAAGGGAGATGGACAATGTCCTGTTAAGCTTCCATCCTGTGAAGTCAGTGGACTAGCTTTAATAAGCAAAAACTGGAGAAGACTCTGTTGGAAGGAGTGTGGTGTCAGAGTACAGTAGGAGTCAAAATTTCTAGGGAATTCATTAGAAAACCATTTATTTTAATTTTGTAGTGTAAGTTTTTCAATGTTTCCTCAGTTTTCTGTAGTTTAAATAAAATTTTCTTGTAATTTAATATGATTTATCTTTTTTCATAAAGGACAATACTAGTGAATACCTACACTGTATCAGGCACATTGTCAGGCATTTCATCATTCTTTAAATTTTCATAAACACTCAGTGTCAGCTCTTCCTGTTATCACACTGAAGGTGATGAAACTATGACTTCCTACCAAATGTCAGACTTTCTGCATAATCAACAATCTTTCCAAGACCACTATGTTTGGCCAAGTAGCTTGTGAAAGATTCCTGTCTCAGGTGTGCAGTGTGATAGTCTGATAACCCCCTATGTGACACAAAAGGCTGGCTTTTGCTATTCCTGAGATTATCATCAAGTCACCAATTTTCAATCTTACCCATTCACTCAGGTAGAAGTCCATACACTGGACAGGAAACACCTTGGTAGTGGTAACTCAGTTGTAGATTTCTGTCCTCCTGAAATTCTGTGGATAAAGCAGAGCTGTAACATTTCTTTCAAAGCTTCAGTCAGTGTGATTCAGTTGATTGAGATTATGCCCTGCAATCTCATTTTTTGTCCTTACCCAGAATCCCAAGCTCTTCAGAACACAGCTAATACCCTAGGGAAACAGAATCAGAAAGCCAAGAGCCTTCAGGACCTTCAAGAGGTTCCTATTTCTGCAGTATGAACAGTTTTTCTTAGGGCTGGAGGACATCTTCTCTTTGCCTCTTAATTCATTTTTCTCCTTAGAACCTTGTTAGTTGTTTAGAATGGACCTTGATATGGTTGCCTGTAGATTGTCCAGTGTAGAACACAAGTGGGGACCTAGATTAGAAAGTCTGGGCTTGGAGCAGGCAGGCAGCTGATAGTGGTGGTGAAGATATGAAAGCAAAGGGGTAGAGCCAGAAACAAGTAAGAAAGCCTAACAGCTGTTTTTCATTAGAGAACAGACGTCTATGCGGACTTCAGACAACACCAAAGGAACCCCTCCAGAGGCAGATCCATAAACCAGGACCAGGCACCTACACCTGTGTGTAAATAAAGTTTTATTGGACCACATCAGACTGGCTTGTTCAACTTGCTGCTGTGGGTGCTTTAAAGCCTCCCAGACAAGCAGGAGTCCTTGAGAAAAAAATCCCAAGGCTCCTGAAGCCATAAACACTTATATAATGACTCCTTATAGAAAAGCAAACCCAGAATCATCTCATGATTCTATGGAACTGTACAACTTGAAAGGAGGTTTCATTCAGATTGAACTAATTCAGTGAATCACTGCTGGGCAGAACCTCTCTACAGCAGGCATAGTTATCTTGTAACTATGGTGCTACATCTAGATCCAAGGCATCGTCTACTGAACAAAGATTCCCCAAACACTGCTCATTTCTTCAGCAAACAGTGGCACTTACACCGTAATCTTCCTCCACAGAACAGTTACTGAAGTGAGGCTGGCAGGTGCTTCTGCCTGGGATACACTCTCATGCATCTTTCAGATCTGCTGAAAAGTCACTGCCTCAAAGAAGGGATCTCTAACCACATGACCCAAGGGGCCACAGTTTCCTCTGCTCTCAACTCCTCCAAAGCCCCCAGTGCTGAGCTATGGTATGCTGTAGAAGCCTTTGTCTAATTCTGATCTCTTCTCAATAACACACATCTGTGGGGCCAAGGATTTCATTTACATTTTCACTGCTGTGTCTCTGAACTTACCTCATTTGCTACGTAAATGCTTGAATGAATAATGAGCGGTGCCAATCATGAGATTTCACCTCCCATTAGAGGGTTAAGATCAAGAGTTTTAGAAAAAGGGGAGGGAGTGGTTTGGAGAAATGAAAAATATCACAAAACATGAATCACAGAAGAGTTTTTCCTTTATGAGATGGTGAAACTATGAGGCCTAGTGCCAAATATGTGGAGTGGCATAGATCTGAGTTTAAATCTTGATGTTTGAACTTTTCATATCAAACCAACACACACACACATACACACATACACACAGACAGACAGACAGACAGACAGACAGACAGACAGACAGACAGACAGACAGAGGTTGTTTAAAATCATTTACCACCAGGGCTAATTCTATGGGTTGAGTATGACTTATTCATAATATTTGAACAAAAGTGTTCCAAATCTCACATTTTGCTCTTAATTGTTTTAGTTATCAGCCAAGAATCCCTAATTTGGAGAAGCCCTTTGCTACACAGGCAGCCATCAGGGGTGCTCAGTCTACACTGAAAAGGATGTTGAGGGTGTTCACTACCTGCCCTCTGGCCTCTCAAAGCACTCCATGGGAGGGCTTCTTTCCTCTTCTCCCTGGACATCTACCTGCCACAGATGGCGCTGTTCACACCCTTGTTCTGCCCTCCATTTCTCACTTTTCCCGTTAAAAGTAAAACTGAGGACTGAAGATGCAGCTACATCACCCATGAAAGCTCTTCCTGTGACCTCTGCTGGTGAGCAGGAATTGCTTCCAGGGAAGTCATGGGAAAGCTGCCTTCTGTTGACTACTTGCCATGGTTTGACCTGGTGCAGCCCGAACCAACTGCCTCATTAAAAGCAAGCTTTATGCCTTCCTTTGGCAGAGCCCTGCCCTGCAGAGAGAGCTTCTAGCCACCACTGGGTGTAACCAGTGTGTTTAGCCAAAGACTGGGCCTCTCCAGCAAGGAGGGCTGCCCAGCACTCCAGATATTTGGGGGGGGGGAAATATGTCTCAGAATGAAAGATGCATTTTATGCTTTGATCAAAATAACTGCTTTTTTTTCTTTGGAGTTGCTGCAGTTAAAAGGCACCCCGCGAAGAAGGAATCCTGGGAGAAAGGAATGAGAAGCTAAGGAATGCTCTCTCTGGGACACTACCTCACTGTGGTAAGAAAAACAGTGACATCAAACCATGCTGAGTAAAAGATTTGTTTTTTCCTTTCAAGAGAAAATAGCTCGCCCAGCAAACAAAGAGCCCTTCAAAATTTTAAGGACTTCTAATTACAACAAATACCCTTGGTTGCAAACTGTCATACACCCTAAGATTTACAACCCCCAGGAGCTTATGAATGGGAGTTCTTCAGTAGGGTTCCACTGGAGACCAGAGTCAATCCTTGTTTGTCTCCAGTGTTGAAAGTCTAGGAATTCCTAATAGGCAAATTAATTCAAGTCACTAGTGATTGCAGAAAGACCCCAACTTCATTTCTGGATCTGCTGTTTTACAGCTAGGTTATCTTGGGAAAAACCTTAACCTATCTGAACTCTAGGCTTTTAGAGGCAGTTTGCCAAAATTGCCTGACTTTAAGCCAGGTTGAAGAAGGTAAGCATGCATTTTAAAGTGCCTGAAGCAGCATGGCTGGGGGAATGCCTTCAGAGCTTTCCCTTTAGAGCACATGTAGGATGGGTGCAGGACAATAACTTAAACACCTGAGGAAGAAATAATGGAGACCGAGAAGGTTAGTGTGCAGAAGAAAAGGCTAGAGCGGTCAGAAAACATCTCCAAATAAGTGAAGTGGGAAACTCACAGGTAGCAGGGTTATGAGAGAGCATGGAGTCAGCAATTGCAGGGAGGTGGGCTTTAGTTCTGAATGGGCTCAGCATGGAATAAGAATTGAAAGTGGTTTGTGAAGTTGGACTGGTCTTAGTTCTTTTATGAGTTGTTTTATGAGTTACGGAATTTCTGTTTACTTCCTGGGTTTTGATTTGGTTTCTGGGAAAAATGGAGCCAATTATAACCCTGGGAGTCAATTGGGGAGATGAACACTAAGTGCTTAGTGGTATAAAACATCCCACCCCGGCTCCCAAGAAAATGGACTGTAATATGAAACTGTAGAATGGGACTGTGCAATTAGAGTAATGGCTACTCAAATTTCCTAGCATGCACAGAAATATTGGAGAAGTGGGGTAATGATTTCTGGATTTTAGGGCAAGGTGAACACAGATAGGAAGGAATCCCCAGTACTGTGGTCCCAAATAATTTCTATTGTTAACAATTTTGCTTTTGACTAACAGCTTCATTGAAATATAATTAATATATTCATAAAACTTACCTTGCCAGTCAGTGGATATTAATATACCCAGAGCTATGCAACCATCACCACTATCTGGGTACCACTATTTGAGAACACCTGCATCACCCCCCAACATTAAGAGCTCCCACATCCACTTCCCATTTTTCCTCCTTCTCCTTCCAGGTAGCTATGAGTCTTTCTGTCTCTCTGAATTTGCCTGTTCCTTATAAGTGGAGTCACACACTACACCACTTGGACTTTTCCAAACTCAGTTAATAAAAGTAGGAAGATCTACCCTAAGTGTGGATGGCACCATTCCATGGGTAGAATCTGAACTGAATAAAAAGGAGAGCAAGCTGAGCACCAGCACATGTGTAGGCACCAGCACATCTGTAGACATGCTTGTGCTCATGCCCCCTGCCCCTACCTGTGGTATTGCTCTCCCTCTGTCTCTCTATCTTCCCTTCATAACCGCAAATGCAATGTAACTACCCTCCTCTCATTCCTTTGGCCGTGATTTCCCATCATGATGTCATGAAAGCATTAGTCAAAACAAACCCTCCCATGGAGCCGCTCTGATCCCAAGCCCAGCAATAAATGACCAATGCAAAATGAACTCAATGGCACCTTTGGAGTTTCTTCTATTTTTTTATAAACTTTCCAGGCCTTTTGTGTATACATTATGGTTCCTGATTTTGTTTTAATGGGATTTTCATGTGTGTGAACATATGTCTCTGTATCTATATGTGTTTCTTATGCTCTTTCTTTGACTTTTTTTTCCTCTGTTTGTTGCTGTTGTTGTCCTGGATGGTTAATTTTTATTTTATCTTGTTTTATTTTTTTATTATTTTTTCAGATGCCTGTCTGTTTTCTAATGAGAGAAACAAAGGGTGTGGATTTAGGTGGGAAGGGAGGATCTGGGAGGAGATAGAGGAGGGGAGCCATATTCAGACTAGATTATATGGGGGGAAAATCTATTTTCAGTAAAATAAATAAATAAATAAACCCCTTCCTCTCTAAGTCTCTTTTGTCGGGTGCTTTGTTACAAAAAAAAAGCGACAAACAGAAGTTTTGGTGTATTTCAGATATACGACTTTTAAGTACATCTTCCCATGTGTGACTTGTCCTGCTCTTGCTGCTGTACTTGGAAGGAAAGCACACCTTAAACCTCTTGGGAAATAGTACTTGTCAGTGGTGCCCTTGATTCCACTCACTGTTCTCCATTGTGTCACCACCCCAGTACCACATAGTCCAGAAGGGCTGGCATAAGGTCTGAAATCAAAGAATCTGAATTCCCCTTTTAGTCTTTTACAGAACTGTCCCATAGGAACCGGAGCCCTTATTTAGATCTTTCTGTGATTTCTTAATATAATTAGCTTACAAAGCAATAGCTTTCTATGTGGTACCTGTCAGCATTTTTCATTTTGGTCGATAATCCTCCTCACTACCCTTTGGTCCTTCCTGCCTCTCCCCCTCCCAGTCACCCCACTCTTCTCTTCCGCATTGTTCATCCCTCCTTTCCCTCAACAATGTTCCAATCCAACCCTGCACTCACATTAAATGTATTCTTAATATTTGTGTTACTGTTACTGCTGTGGTGAATGGAATTGCCTTATTAGTTTTCTGGTGGCTCATTGCTAGTACATAGAGGTAGAACCCGTTTTTATATAATGGTCTTGTGTCCATTTCAGCTTTCAATAAGAACACAGCCAGCCCTATGTGTAAGATTTACTGAAAATCAGAACTCACTTGCAAAACAAGTAAATTTTCAGAATGCTTAACTGTATCTTTTCTTTTCTAATATTGTTAGTGATGATGGCAATTTAAGCCTATTTTAACCAGAAAAGTATCTTAATTTTACTGTTCTATTTGCAACACATTGACAGAAGAGATGGGAAACTGAATGGCAGGTGGGGACAGACAGGTAAGACTAGATGTCCTGATGTCCTGACTAAGGACCTGGAAGCAAGAAAATGTGCTCCTCCCCCAGGCCCTGCCAGACACTCTGCAGTGTTATGCTGTGCTTTAATAAGAGGTTGTTGAGGATTGAAGCACTCTTATCAATTAACCAGCT